ACCCACACGGGGGAGAGGCCCTACACGTGCTCACAGTGTGGGAAGAGCTTCACAGGGAGCTCAGGCCTGACCCGACACTACAGGATCCATATTGGAGAGAAGCCGTTCAACTGCTCGGAGTGTGACAAAAGCTTCGGCCGGAAAACGCAACTCCTCAGCCATCGCAAAGTGCACACGCGAGAGAAGCCGTACAAATGCTCGCAGTGCGGGGAGGGCTTCAGCCGCAACTCCAGCCTCATGATCCACGAAGGGTCCCACACGGGAGAGAAGCCGTTAAAATGTCCGGACTGCGACAAATCCTTCAACACTCCCTCTCAGTTGTTGAAGCACCACCGCGTGCACACGGGGGAGAGACCGTACACCTGCTCGGAATGCGGGAAGAGCTTCAGCCAGAGGCAAATCCTGATGGTGCACCAGCGAATCCACACAGGGGAGAAGCCCTTCAAATGCGCCACCTGTGGGAAAGGCTTCTGTGAGCGTGCCGTCCTCATCAGGCACCAGAAAGTCCACACGGGGGAGCGGACGTATCAGTGCACAACCTGCGGGAAATGCTTCTGTGACCGTGCCGTCTTTGTTCGCCACCAGAAAATTCACACAAGAGAAACTCTGGGTGTGCTTAGACTGGAGGAGGAGCCATCTAATGAAGCCTTATAAAATCCTTTCTCCCACGTTGCCTTGACTCTCAGGGTGGGTAGAGAGGAGCCCGTGATATCTACCTGCGGTGCATGTGAATAAAATTCAAGTCCAGTCGCATCTTAAAGACCAACAAATCTTTTCCAGGGTATCATTAGTCAAAGCTCACTTCTTCAGATACAAATAAGAACATAAGAGAAACTATGTTGGATCAGGCCAACGGCCCATCCAGTCGAACACTCTGTGTCACACAGTGTCCAAAACCCAGATGCCATCAGGAGGTCCACCAGTGGGGCCAGAACTCCAGAAACCCTCCCACTGTTGCCCCCCAAGCATCAAGGATACAGAGCATCACTGCCCCAGACAGAGTGTTCCCTCTAAGAGCCACTGATGGACCCCTGCTCCATATGTTTATCCAGTCCCCTCTTGAAGCTGTCTATGCTTGTAGCTGCCACCACGTCCTGTGGCAGTGAGTTCCAAGTGTTAATTGCTCTTTGGGTGAGGAAGTACTTCTTTTGATCTGTTCTAAGACTACTGCTCATCAGTTTCAAGGAGTGCTCACGAGTTGTATTGTGAGAAAGGGAGAAAAATACTTCTTTCTCTACCTTCCCTGTTCCATACATAGTTTTGTAAGCCTCTATCATGTCACACACCCCCCCGTCATCATGCCCAAGAGCCCTAACCTCTTTAATAACCTTTCTTCATAGGGAAAGTGTTCCATCCCCTTCATCATTTTAGCTGCCATCGTCACTTCCTGCGGCAGTGAATCACACGTGTTAATGACTCTTTAGGTGAAGAAGTACTTATTTTTATCTGTTCTAAACCTACTGCTCATTAATTTCATGGAGTGTCCATGAGTTCTTGAATATATCCTGGTCAGGAGGTGGGAGGGTTGTTGTCAGGAAGAACCTGTTGGAGTTTCTTTGTAACCCCACTCCCACCTTCTACCTGGACATAAGGGCTGATGGATCTTCATTCTCCTTTGTATCTGATGAAGTGAGCTTTTCTCCAGGAAAATTGTGTTGGTCTTTAAGGTTCTGCTGGACTCAAATCTTGTTCTGCTGCTGCAGACTGACACGGCTCCCCCACCTGAACTGTCTTCACGCAGTGTGCTTGGAATCACATGAGAATCCAGTTTTATGCAGTATGTTTACTATACATTTGCCCCGAAACAGGAATCCAGAGAAGCAGGTCACTTTTTCCTTGCCATGAAGCTGGCTTCCCATGTACGGGCACACCACAATGAGTTTTCGGGGTCTGGGGGGAGGTAGGGAAAAAGTCATGCGGATTCACTCTTGGATCCTTGGTAGCTCTTGTTAATGATAGACAACCGCTGGCAGAGTTGTCGAAAATTCAGTGAAGCCAATGAAACCAACATCAGTATCTTTAAACTATGCACTACAATGAATGAATGGAGCATTTATTTGGTTATGGGCAGGGCTTTTTTTTGTAGAAAAAGCCCAGCAGGAACTCATTAGCATAATAGACCATACCCAACAGCAGGAACTCATTCGCATATTAGGCCACACCCCTGACAGCACAGCTCATTCGCATATTAGGCCACACACCCCTGTTACCAGAAGTGTGGTCATCCAGCCACACCCACCTTTTGCTTCTTATTCTCTTTACCTTGTTTGTTGTCAAAACCCAGGGCCTTTTTGCATGTTAGGCCACACACCCCTAATTGTAGCCAATCCGAATGAGTTTATGCTATTGGGTGTGGCCTATTATGCTAATGAGTTCCTGCTGGGCATGGCCAATTTGGGAGCCAGCCGGAACTCCGTTCCTGTGTGTTCCTGCCCAAAAATAGCCCTGGTTATGGGTGTGTGTGTGGGGGGGGTAATCCATTGAAATTATGCATGCATGGTTGCTTGTCATAGGAAGTGTGGTTGGAAAAAAAAAAGTCTTGCTAAATTCAACATTTCTGTACATCACCGTGCCATATTATCCACCTTGGTGGGAGGGTTGCCACCTCTGGGTTGGGAAAGTCCTGGAGATTTGGGGTAGAGGATGGGGTTTGGGGAGGAGAGGGGCATAGCGTTCACCCTCCAAAGCAGCCATTTTCTCCAGGGGCACTGATATCGCTCAGAGATCAGTTGTAATCATAGATCTCCAGGGCCCACCTGGAAGTTGGCAATCTTGTTGGGGGGGGGATGCATCGTTTCCAATGGGGGAGTTGCCATTCACTATGTATTGTGATAATTAGAGAAGTGC